ATAAGCTTCATGTGATGAAGTGGGCTGTAGCCCACAAAAGCTTATGCTCAAATAAATTTGTTAGTCTCTAAGGTGCCACAAGTACTCCTGATATTACAAGATCATTTTTAGAAACAGTGAGGAGATAGTGCTTTCAAGAATGAAAACATTATCAATATTGTCACCATACCAGGGAACAGCAATCTTCAGAGACTTATAAGCATAGCATATCTGAAAAAAAAAATCTATAGCTCCCTATTTCAACATGTGTATGTTTAAAAGCACCGGTCTTTTTTTGAACTTGTGTAGATCATACATAAGTCCTCCTGTAAATGCAACATGTTCAGAATCTTAAATTATAGCACAGATGTACTTTAAAATACATAAACTAAAAATACATTTGGCATGAAAGAAGAAAAATCTGTGTTTGAGGAACATGGCAAACTTTTTTTGTTCAAATTTGCAGGTACGTTTCTAGACAATTGCCCTTTCCTTTACCATTTGGCCTTAATGAAATCAGGGGAAGCTTCATAGCTTCAACCAAATGTTGAATTTTACCTAAAAGGATTGAATTCTTCTGAAGAGATTGTTTCCAACCAGAATAATTCAATTGTATTGTGCTATATGGCAAAAGAGAGCCAAATTTCAAAATTTCATCCTGGGAGATTCACAAGTAAGAGGATGCCGCTGCTTTTTCTGTGTTGTCCTTAAACTGAGAAGCAGTTCTTTTTTTATTGATTGAGTGATTTTTACTCCTGCAATCGAAAAGGCTTTAAAAGCTTCACCCTGCCTGTGTTTTCATTGGAAAATAAGTATAGGTTTGTGGACTTCCAGGAATCCTTCTGTATGTTGCAGAGGACAGTAATGCTCAAGGGTAAGACTTGCCAGAGATGTCTATCCCAACACTGGAATAAGGGATAAGATAGGTCACTGATGGTAATATATTTTAATAGAATAAACAGCATAATACCAAATAATTAATTCTAAGTTGGTACTGAACAGACACACTCTTATTAAATCAGTAAGCATGGCCTTTAGCAGTTACTGAATCAGTCTGCTCAGCCAAGAATTTTTTTTTTTTTTTAAAGCTGGAAGTGAGTTTTGGGAGTGCCCGGATGCGTGTCTAATAGCAGGCTCCAGTCTTTTTCAGACACTTTCCCAAGGTTTCCTGGCTTTTTTTTTTTTTAAACACCAACTGTGCTCTCTCTCTCTTTTTAATCAGAAGGAAATGGGCTTTGCATAGCTTTTGTAGCAGCTTTGAAAGTGCAAGCTGCAGATTTACTTGCAACCCAAAGCTGTTCTAAACTAAACATTTTGTTTGATTCAAGTGCCACCATTGTCCCCCCAAAATGGGTTTGTTCACAGTCAAACAACGTCAAGGCTTTTATTCTGTAAGCCGTGGAGACTGGCCTGTGTTGGTACTGTTCACAGACAGCATTGTGTTCCTAACAATGATACTACGTATTTACATAGCTCTTTCTATTTTCAAAGCATTGTACAAACATACAATCCTTTAAACACCCATGGCAAGTGGACAAATAAATGTTTTAACCCCATTTTACAGACAGGGAAACTGAAAGACCAGTAGTTTAAGGCCAAAAATGTTAAACTTGTATGTCTCAACTGAAGCACCTACATTAAAGTGGCTTGATGTTGCTGGGAGCTGCAGGTGCTCAGTACCTCCGAAAATTAGATCACTTACTGTAAATGCTTAATATGGATTTAAGTGCTTCACTTTAGGCATCTAGGCTTGAAAAATTTGACCTATGTGATTTGCTGAAGTCCACTGATGTGAATCGGTGGCAAAACCAGGACTAGAATTTAGGAATTCCTAGTTCACTAGATCATGATGTAGCCTGATTTTTCCAAAACTTTGATAGGGGTACTTTGTGGCAGTGTGGGGAGGCAGAGTGTAAGTTTGCTATTAACAACAGAAGATATTGTGTAACATTTCCATTCAGAGTGAAGTTACCAGTAGGCCCTTAGCATTCTAGTTGGGGTGCATGTACCTTAATGGTGTGTGTGAGACAGCTAGCTTGATGTACTTTGAATGCAAATCATATAGGGTAACATCTAATTCACTTGCATGAAGCCTGAAAAATCAAATCAAACCTGGCTGCAATGCAAAATCCACCCTCAGCTCAGCACCAGAGTGTGGGGTTGCAGTGCAGGAACTTTACCTCTTGCTCCAGTTGCTCCAGCCTATGTGCTGGGATAGGAGCTACAGCCTCTCTGTACCTTTTGTGCAGGGTGTTCAGATTCTGGATCTGCACAGTCCTGGGTCACATTGCTCCCCCATCTACCTCCAGCGCTGCCTTCCACACTAGCTTATGCAGAATGGGTGCAAACCAGGGATGTGGAGGCCTCGCTTCAAGGCCTCTCCCTCCACAGTCCATCCATTTGGCCCTCCCCCGAGCAAAGCCTAGGTGGTGCTGACGTCCTTGGGCAGGCCCACTGAATCAGGGTGAATTTCACCGTTACAGTGAAGACCATTGAATAAACAGAAAACTGTTATAGAGCACTCCAAACAGCTGCATGCTAGTTAGTTTTCCTGGAATACACACAAAACTGGGCAGATACAAAGCACATTTCCCAGTCTCATCCAAAGTAATGCTGTCACCTAAAGTAACAACTAAACACTTTTATTTGCCTATTCCAACTTTTTAGCACAGAAAATACCCCAGGGCAATAGAAGCAACATGGAATTGAGGGGATTTGAAACATCAGTATATCTGTAGCAGTGATATAACAAATTACATATCACATTCTTTAAACCTTACTGCCTGCACATAGCCAGATTTTTACAGATGATTGGTGTTTTTACATCCACACATGGCACGTGCAAAAAACTGAGGGTGCAGTTTTTCTCCCACAGTGCTTGACAGAGGGAATGCTGGAAGGCATCCTATAGAGTCTGCATGTGCACTGCTACATCATTTTCCAGGGTGCAACAGTACTCTTTGCTGTTTTTTCTGGCCTACGCATAATAGCGGGCAAAGTCTTCCTCCTTCCCATCTCTGCCCTCCCTCTGTGGGTGAGTGCACCCTAAGTGAAACAAGGAGAGAGCAACCTCTGTGGTTCCCTGAGTGCAGGGCTTGTAGTTTTGCCTGACCCTTCTGCAAGATGGCAATGAAAAAGCTCTTTACACAGTCTCCACACTGCATATCCCCGATATAAGAGCCAGGCTGAATCCAGCTCACAATTATTTAAGTCATTCGGACATCACCCACTTATACCTGCAAACCATGTATTTAACCAAACTACCTAAATTGCACATAGGAATTACTCACACCAGCGAAACAGCTGAAAATCAGGCTCATAAGGTTGGAATAGCACTTCTCTTTTCAATAGAGATGGAACCACAGTTCACACAGCATGCCAGTTGGAGAATCAGAAATAGCACCCTGTCCTTTGCCCGCCCAGTTGGCTGCACTTACTCTCAATATGTCCCCTGGCATTTTCAAGGTTCTTCTCAATGCATTTGACACAGATACAGAATGACTGAAAACCAGGTCCAATATATTCCAATTAACTTGTCTGCCTTACCTCTTCTGTGGTACTGAAGTAATGATGGGTAGTTGTTGGAATCCAGGATTTCTCTTTTACTGCAGACAACTTCAGGTTCAGATGGAGTTTTTCATTAATGTTTTTACTGTAGTTTTCTGTAATATTTCCGATGAAGATCTCTGTGCTACTCTTAAGGAAATTCCCAGGAGTAGATGTAATAGCATTAAAGGGTGAGGAGGTACTTCTACTGTTCTCCAAGATGCAAAAAATCCAGTGCGGATCTAAGATGAATAAAGGACAATAACTAAAATTAGCTTCATATTTGCTCATCATCCATTCTTTCAATGATAAAGACCCTGGAACGTGTTATACTGTACATAGTTTTGGTTAAGTGTACCTGTCAGTTCTAAGTAATGGAAATCTCCAGAGGCAGGTATAAATCAGTGTGGAGATAACGAGGTTAGTTCAATCAGGGAGGGTGAGGT